CACCTTACCTGCCTCCTGAGAAATCTGTATGCAGGTCAAGAAGCAGCAGTTAGGATGGGATATGGAACAACGGACTGGTTCCAAATTGGGAAAGGACTAAATCAAGGCTGTATTTTGTCACCCTGTTTATTTAACTTATATGTAGAGTACATCATACGAAATGCCAGGATGGATGAAGCACAAGCTGGAATCAAGATTGCTGGGAGAAATATCAATAACCTCAGATATGCAGATGACACCACCCTAATGGCAGAAAGCATAGAGGAACTGAAGAGCCTCTTAATGAAAATGAAAGAGGAGGGTGAAAAAGCTGGCTTAAAACAACAATCAAAAAACGAAGATCATGGCATCTGGTCCCATCACTTCATGGAAAATAGATAGGAAAACAATGGAAAGAGTGACAGACTTTATTCTTCTGGGCTCCAAAATCACTGCAGATGGCAACTGCAGCCATGAAATTAAAAGACACTTGCTCCTTAAATGAAAAGCTATGACTAACCTAGACAGCATATTAAAAAGCAGAGACATTACTTTGCCGACAAAGGTCCATCTGGTCAAAGCTATGGTTTTTCCAATAGTCATGTATAGATGTAAGAGTTGGGCCATAAAGAAAGCTGAGCACTGAAGAATTGATGCCTTTGAACTGTGGTGTTGGAGCAGACTCCTGAGAGTCCCTTGGACTGCAAGGAGATCCAACCAGTCAATCCTAAAGAAAACCAGTCCTGAATATTTATTGGAAGGACTGAGGCAGAAGTTGAAAGTCCAATACTTTGGTCACCTGATGCGAAGAATTGACTCATTGGAAAAGACCCTGATGTTGGGAAAGATTGAAGGCAGGAGGAGAAGGGGACGACAGAATGGGATGTTTGAATGGCATCACTGACTTGATGGAAAAGCGAACTCCAGGAGGTGGTGATGGACAGGGATGCCTGGCCTGCTTCAGTCCATGGGGTCACAAAGAATCTGATGCAACTGAGCAACTGAACTGAGCTTATTTGATCCCCATGATAACCCCAAGAATAATTAAGACATGGGCTATCATACTCATTTTACAGATTAAAGGAAAGTAAGGCTAAAGGTAAAGGTAAGTGAGCTGCCCAAGATCATAAAGTTAAGTAAGTAGAAAACCCCAGGTTTTCTGATTGAAGTCCCTTTCTGATGAAAAGATTTACTGGTTGGTTATTTAATTTCAAATATTTTATCTTATTTGTGAAATAATTTAACTTAACAAATGTTAATAAGGGCTAGCTTGTTTTTGAGCGCTTACTCTGTGCCAGACACTGTTCCAAGGTCTTTGTGAACTCATCTAATCCTCGAGACAATACTATCATCTATGCTGTCAGTCTGGATAAAAGACCACCCTAGATCACTGACTGTTTTTGCCTATAGAGACTTGGTTAAATCTTTTAAAAATATAGGTGTATCATGTATATTCATCTTTATTTGCATTATTATAACACATTTATTAAGCACTTAAGCTGGGAATTTCATCAAGCATCCAGGATACAGGGACATTTGGCAAAGCCCCTGTCCTCGAAGAGTTAAAAAGAAATATAAAATAGGTAGCACACACACAAAGGAAAACCATGAGGTCTCATTGAAGTGCCTTTTGAGTGACAGTCCCTTAACCTGCTGCTGGGGTTCTTAGGAGAAACAACTGTGGACAGGTGAGGACAGAGAATACTTTGCTCAGAACATAGAACTTGGTCTGTCCTTACAGACTAAGGCAGTCACCACGTGACAAGGAGAGGGAGACGCTCTCCAGCAGAAAGGACAGTAGCTGAAGAGAGACTGTGCTCTGTTATGAAGCAGCTGGACTGGGACAGAGATTATGGGAGGCGGGCAGTGGGAAACGTGACTGAGAAAGTTGGGGAGTCTTGAAGGCAAGAAGGAGACACTGAAGAGTTCAGAGCAGTGACCAACCTGAGTTTGGAAAACATTAAATTATGGTCGTAATGCTCAACATCCCAGGTACCAGTGGAGGAAGGAACAGCCTGGAAAATTACATTTGGTATAGGTCTACAATGCTCCAGGCCCTGTGGAAGTCCTCAAAGAAACAGCAACAATAATAGTAGCCTCTGTGTATCAAGTACTAGGTATTTGTTTAGTCATCAGAAGTCAGAGAAGTTAAATGACATATTCAAGATCACACATTCTGTAAGTGGCCTAGTCAGGTTTTGAGCTTTGGTCATTCTGACTCTGTATAACCTCTCCACTACCCAATTCTACTTGTACCTGCACCTCCCTAGTAGGCTATAACGGTCCGGACTAAGATGGGGAGGGTCATGGAAAAGAAGACACTACTTGGAGACATATAGCAAATATCCTACTTTTTCTTTCCAATTCCTTATGAATCACAAGCCCAGGTCTGGGAGGAGGGGAATTGCAGTCTGTCTCCACAGAGTGGAAGAAACCTCAGGATAGTTGCTGTCCAGTAATACTGAACAGTGAGCTCTTCTGCCCCGCTCTGGAGCCAAGACACGCGCTGAGCTGGATCCTGGTATCAGATGCCTGCCCATCTCTCCCCCTCACTGCCTGGTGCCTGATCTTGGGTTTGCTAGTTTATATACTATAGCAGCATAAGACAAGTTTAGAAGACAAAAATAACCTTGGAATTATCTTGTGAATTCATGGTAATTACCACGCAATTACATGCTCAGTAACCACAATGGAATTTCAGAGTATTTACAGCTCACTTCCATACACAAAAGCTCAGGCTTCTGGGCCTTTGCTGTGAAGGCAGGAGCATGGCGCAGCCTGGCGTGGCAGGGTGAGCAGGCCTGGTGGTCATGCTCCCCCAGACTGATTGCATAGCTGAGCCAGACCTTCTCTTAGCCAGTTCTTGTTACCCTCCAATTACCTCTGCCAGAGCTACATTGTCCTCCAAAAGGTGTCCTCTAAGGGCAAGGCCTGGGATGACTGTCCTGAGCTGTCATTTTCTAGAGCAGGTGTGACCGTCCCCTGTTTTGTGAATCAATCTCTGTTTCTGCCCCAAAGCTTTCAGTGTCTAAGTACCCTGAATTACATCCTTTGAAGCGCCTCTTCCGTCAGAGAGAAGTGCAGCCCATTTACTTTATTTCATGTATCCATTCTTTCAAGAAACATTGAACACTAGCATCATGTCCAGCCTGGGGATTCAGAAGCCAAACAGTGCCTGCCCTCAGAAAACTCCCAGTCATGAAAGGGAGCCAGCTGGGAGAACCACTCATAATAGGTTAGGAAGACAACAAAGTACAGTTGTGAGACATGGACGGTCAAATAGATGTTCTTTTGTAAAAGCAGGATTCCCAGTGGCTCCAAGTGGGGTAATGCCAGTGGCGGTGCACAGCTCGATGCATTAGCCTGTGGGGGCAAAACCTTTCTGTAGATGTGGACCCTGCTTATGTGTGGGCTTAATTACCACTACTGATAACATGACCATCACATATGCTATGTAAATATTGAAGGAAAAGACACAATATGTGGGGGACGTACATCACAAAAGATGAACATGAAATCTGTGTGTGAGATGTGGGGGAAAGGATGTTTATTTTCTGCTGGGTACTCACTCAGTCAGCCGCAGTTCCCTGCATTAGCTCAGAGGCAGACTGGGGGCCTGGGGTTTCACAAAAGATAAGTGTGTCAGGTCATTAGGATCCTTGCAACCAGCTGTGAGCCAGCAGCGAACCGGCAGCACCCCTTTCCTTCTCCTATTTCAAGTCACTGCACGCAATCAGGCACCTGGGTGCCCAGCACCTGAGGGTCCCCAAAGTTCAAAATCCGGGCCACGTGTAGCCACTTTTATGCTGTAAGGTTGGCCACGGCTCTATGAGCAGTTCTCCAAATTTCCATTTGCCCAAGGACAAACAGAGATAATTGTCAAAGGCAAATATCACATTTCATGAAGGACATGCTACGAAACTATCAGGATTCAATCCTTTCTTTTCTACATATTAAATTTTGAATATTTTAGGAGATACTATAGTTGAAATACTTTGGACCTACTCTAACCAGCCTTTTTGGGATAGCTCTCATTGATAGGCAAGCAAGATAAAGAATAGCAATTTCCCAAACAAAGAAAGCAGTTGTAATTAAAGCTCTAGCATTGGTCCCTTCAAGGAGGTGAAGTACACTTAATTATTTGCTGCTGAAGAGCACAGTATGGAAAGGCGGAAGGAATCTTTACAGCAAGAAATCTAATGAACGCTATTTTAGCCAGGGGACTGTGGTTGGTGTCATAATGATAAGTCATGTTGATATGAGGTGATGAAAGTAGCAGTTTACCTTTCTCTCCAAAACCAACAACCCTCATCTAATCATGAAAAAAACATCAGACACACCTCAATTGAGGGATATTCTACAAAATACCTGATCAGTACTCCTCAAAACTGTCAGGTGAGACAGAGAAACTGTCACAGAAGACATGACAAATATAAGGTGGAGGGGATCCTGGAACAGAAAATTAGGGGAAAACTAATTATATCCAAATAAAGTATGGACTTAACAGTAATGTGGCAATTTGGTTCCTTAGTCATGACAAACATCACGTACATGTACCACATCAATGTACAATGCCAAAAGTAGGGGAACTGGGTGTGGGCTATACAGGAATTCTCTGTATAATCTTTGCAACTTTTCTCTTAATCCACAATTATTCTGAGATTAAAATTTTATTTAGGGTTTCCCTGGTGGTCCAGTGGTTAGGAATTCACCCGCCAATATAGGGGACACGGGTTCAATCCCTGGTCTGGGAACATCCCATGTGCCATGGAGCAACTAAGCCCATGGGCCACAACTACTGAAGCCCACAAGCCCTAGAGCCTGTGCTCCGCCACTGCAGTAAGAAGCCCACGCACGGCAATGCAGAGTAGCCCCTGCCCACTGCAACTAGAGAAAGCCTGCGCAGAGCAACAAAACCCAGCGCAGCCAAAAGAAAAAGTAAAGGAATAAAAAAATTTTTTAAGTTTATATATTTTGTAAAAAGCCTGACATTCAGCTGTGGTTTGTTTTTTTTTTTCCAGTCACAGGCAACCAGTCGCTATGCGGTGATGAGCACCCAGCTGAGGCATGACACTCTCTCTCTGGTTTTCCACTACGTTTTTCTCCAAATGTGTAAGGCCCATGGCATCGGCTATAATGTTGAGGTATGAAGGATGACAGCTGGCCAAGAGTGGACCAAATATAGGCCTGTGGGTGATTTAGGCAGCTAATACTTTGGTACCCCTTCAAACCGATGTTCTTTAAACATTGGCTTGACATGTATTTAGTGGAAGGCCTGGGGATGAGCAGAAAGGCAACTCCACAGAGGGTGGCACTTGGTCCTGGGAAGTTGATATCTGTCCCCAGACTCATACGCCCCACCTTAGTAAAGTAGAAGCCCTGTAGCTCACCAGACTTGGGAGTCATTAGGGGGATCCTCTCTTCATTTTGAAGCATGTCTTGACTTTCTGACCCCACCCAAAGCTGCTTACCTATGAACATCCTCCTAGTCTGGTTGGGCTGCCATAACAAAACAACCATATACAAGGTGGTTTAAAGGGCTTCCCTTGTGGCTCAGCTGGTAAAGAATCTGCCTGCAATGTGGGAGACCTGGGTTGGGAAGATCCCTGGGTTCGATCCCTGGGTTGGGAAGATCCCCTGGGGAAGGGAAAGGGTACCCACTCCAGTATTCTGGCCTGGAGAGTTCCAGGGACTGTATTGTCCACAGGGTCTCAAAGAGTTGGACGCGACTGAGTAACTTTCACTTCACTTAAATAATGTAAATTTATTTATCACAGTTCTGGGGGCTGGGTAATCCAAGGTGAAGTTGCCAGTTAATGCAGTTCCCAGTGAGGATCCTTCCTAACTTAACAGAGCAATTGCCTCTTTGCTGTGTCCTAACATGGTGAAGAAAGAGCAATCTCTGGTGTCTCTGTAACCTCTCCTAGAAGGACACAGGTTCTATACAAACGGGGCATCACCCTTATAGCCTCAGTAACATTTACCATTTCCTTAAAGTCCCTGTTTCTGATACATTCACATAGGGGATTAAGGCTTAAACATATGAATTGGGGTGCAGGGGAGTGGTACACAATTCAATTCAGAGCATCCTTCTACATACATATCGTCGTTTCTTTCCAGGAGGAGTTCTGATAGAAAACAGTTTCCCCCGTTTTTAGTTGATTTCCAGTTTTATTGATGGCCAACTGAAGAGTCAACTGTAGTTTTCAGCCTCAAATTTTATTAGATTTCCATATGCCAGAAGGTGGCTAAATCTAACTCTAGCTTTATCTGAGTTAACTTATTTTATTTACTTCTAAAATATCAAAGCAGAACAAGCTCTGTGAGTGGGCATATTTGGCAGAGAAGTTCTCCTGTTGAAAAGAAAACATACTCCATAACTTTATAATGCCCAAAATTATTACTAGAGATTTATTTCTTTGGCTGAAGGCTTTGTACTTGATTGAAGTTCTAGTACCCCTGGGAAAAGTAAAGCACCAAATTTTTTAAGTTATTTACAACTTTGTGGCTCTGAGTTGATCAGATTCATTTCTAAGAACAAATTTCAGTACAGAAAACAGGCTACTATGGCCCAGGAGAACAGTGGATGGTGCAGAGGAAGGGGTTCTGCTGAGGGCAAGAAGAATGAAGAAAGGGCAGAACCACAGAAGACACAGTGGGCATAGCCTCCAGGTCTCCGGTAATAAACAATTTACAAAGGATGAAAGATGAAATGGAAGAGAAAGAGAAATGTAGACTGAAGGTAATAGAGTGATGGAACAATATGAAGAAGAAAAAGATAACAGGAGAAAATCTGGAGGATAAAATCCAGAGACTGGAACATTCTATAAAAATAAGGTGTGTGTGTTAGTTGCTCAGTCATGTCCGACCCTTTGTGACCCCATGGACTGTAGCCAGGCTCTTTTGTTCTTGGAATTTTCCAGGCAAGAATACTGGAGTGGGTTGCCATTTCCTTCTCCAGGAGATCTTCCCAACCCAGGGATCAAACCTGGGTCTCCCACATTGTAGGCAACTCTTTACCATCTGAGTGACCAGGGAAGCTTCATAAAAATAAGGTAGGAGGAGATAAACAGAAAGAAAAAGAACAAATAATAAATAAAACTACAAGAAGAGATGAGAAATTGAGTCATAAAACTCTGAGGTAAGAAGAAGACATGTGACTACTTGGAAAATTTGCAAATTCTCTAACAATTTTTTGTTACTTACTCTATTTTTCCTGAGAAGGATTCACATCTTTTCAGACCCTGGTGTCCATCCCTGGTCAGAACTCTCCACTTGTTCTCTCCATTGCATTTTCTTGGAGAGGCATTTAAACAAGCACCTACTATGTTCTGGCACTGAGCTAAGCACTATTACATTATTATCTCTTTAATCTTCTGTAAGAAGTTGCTATTTCTACCATATTACAGTGAGGAATTTGTGCTTAAAGAGTTTAAGCACTTTCCCCAGGCCACACAGCCAAACATTTTATGGAATGCCTTAATCCACAAGTGTCCATAAAGTCAAATATGATTCTTTTTCTTACATCAGAATACCTCCTATGCACCTTTTTCTCTCTAAAGACTGTTTCTCACTAACTATGTATGTTTCTAAAATATTATTTCTAATCTATTCCAAGCAATCTGAGATCCATTTCAAATAAAATATTCCACCTAGGTATATATTTTTCAGTTGAAGAAGCACAAACTTCTCGATAACCCCCTCAACTGTCTCCATTTGACAAAGGGAAAAAAAAGATATGTGTAACAATAACTTCCCTAAAATTGTATTGCCTCCTTGGGTTATTCTGAGTCTATAAAGAAGATCACTTACCCTAATTCCAGTGTCACATATGCTACCTGCTTCCATGCATGTGTGCTCAGTTACTCAGTTGTGTCCGACTCTTTGTGTCCCCATGGACTGCCCGGCTCCTTTGTCCATGGAATTTTCCAGGCAAGAATGCTGGAGTGGGTTGCCATTTCCTACTCCAGGGTATCTTCCCAACCCAGGGATTGAACCCACATCTCCTGCATTGTCAGGCAGATTCTTTACCATTGAGCCACCTGGGAAGCCCTACTCATTTCCACTCTTGATCAAACTTAATGTGGCAAGAAGCAATATTAATAACACATCAATGTCATCACTACCAAAAGAAGAATCCTCAAAAGTCCTTATTCTCAACATTATGTTTTTCTTCCCATTATCATCATCGAATTTCACATGTTGTTTTTCGTCCAAAATCTCAGGGGTGGAAAAGGGAAATGAGATCACCCTATGAGTCTATTTTTCCTTGCTGAATATTGGAAGGAAGCATTGCTGAGTTTGTAACCAACTCGGTAGGTCTCATTCCTGGTATTTCTGTAATGCTACAAAATACCCCCACTGATTTCCTAATGAAATGAACTTGTAATGAAAGCCATATGGAGAAAAGTGTCATGTTTACTGCCTGCGACAGTGTGGTGGGCTGGTCTCACACATATAGAGGCAGTGTGCCATGGTCCTAAATGGCTCCACAGCCACTAGCAATCACTTCCTCAGGACAACAGATTGTCATGGTGGCTGATCAAAATGTTCTGATTCTCCTCCTTTCACACACATAACAGAATTATACTTCCTCCACCCTCTGCCTGAAGTTAGACATGGCCATGTAACTTATTTTGGCCAGCGAAATATGAATAGAAGTGATGTGTGTCTTCTGTGCCTTTAAGAGCCACTCCATGAGTCACCATGTCCTTTTTCCTGCCTTGGAAATCCTGGAAGTACACTGAAATGGAGCCTCCTTCAGCTCTGATTTACCAATGGGGACCAGAGACCCATGCTGATGCATGTGGGAAATGAAGTAAGAGCAAGAACCAACTTTTTTGCTACACAAACTAGTAATTGATTGTTTTTTTTAAACTACTGAAGCATAACAGCCTACTTGATTGATTCAAAAATTAGTATCAAGAAAAGGATGCACCCCAAAAAGAAAAGAACTAGTATTACTTCACCACGTAGTCAGTACAAAAAGTAATAAGATATTTTACATTTGTGTACCAAGTTAGGGATTGAACCTGGGTCTCCTGCATTGCAGGCATATTCTGTACTGTCTGAGGCCCCAGGGAAGCCCAAGAAAAGGCACATTGCCTCGGGGAAACAAACCCCATCTCCCATTTGACAGGCAGGGATACGCCCCACTATTCTAAAGAGGACAGCTTGAAAGCTGCAGTAAACTCAGTTTCGATGACTAATATTTCAAGTTCTCAGTAGCCCCACGTGTCTAGTGGCTACCATGCTGGACAGCACGGTAAAGGATGCAAGACAAGATCATCTAGTCAATAGTTCTTAGCCATGACTGCCCATTAGAACTGCCTGAGTGAGATTTTAAAAGTACAGATGTTCGGGCAAGTTTGGGAATAGGGAGAGACAAGTAAGGCACTTACCCAAAGCTCCTCAGTAATAAAGATAAATTTAATAATGTAATGCAAAATGTTAAAATCAAAATTAATTCAAGAAATCCATGATGAACAAAATATCAGTATTTCAAATAAAAATATACTGATGTTTTTCCTTTGCCTTGGGCTCTAGTATGGCTTAGTCTGGCACTGTACCCAGGACCCACTCCAGACCAATTAAATCAGTATTTTTGGAGGTAGGGTCCAGGCATTAAATTTTGTTTGTTTGTTTGTTTGTTTCAGGCATTAAATTTTTAAAGCACTCAGATGATTCTAATATGCAGCCAGCATTGACCACCACTCTAGTCCATTGTCTATTCTAATGCCTAGGTTTCCTGATAAAATGGAGAGTCAATGGGGAGTTGTAATTCTGGCATGTGGGATCTTTTACCAAATCCCCCAAATGTAGTTGTTTTTTTTTTTTTTTCCTGCGCTACTAGTGATGAGTCCACAGCTTCATGGGGCAGCCATTTCCACTATTGGACAACTCCAGCATTAGCTTTTGTTTATTTGAGACAAAAATGTTAAAAGATAGTTTTCCAAAAAGGATAAAATCATGTCTTTCATACAGATACAAAAATACATACATGATAAAGATTTTATTTAAGAGAGAAGAATTAGGCAGATGTTATAATCAGGACAAGAAAGAATTTTAAGAAACCAGACATCTTTATAGATCATGACTACTGAAATGAAAATGTAAATGGAGGCAAAGTTGATTTTTCCACATGGGAAGCGGGAGAGGAAAATCAACTGAACCTCTACCAGAGTGGACAGAATTTCTCAGTCACTTGTAAAATATCTTCCATAGACTCAAGGTGTGATATAGACAGTATATAGCTTTCCTTTGAAGTACAAATTATTTTTCACACAACAAACTGCTTCCCTATATTTTCTATCAATTTCTCTTAGAACAGTGGTTTTTAAATTTTGATGTGCATGAGAATCACCCAGAAAGTGAGCTAAATTGCAGATTGGAAAAGAAAATGAAAGCAAAAACAAATAAATGGGACCTAATTAAAAGCTTTTACACAGCAAAGTAAACCATTGACAAAACAAAAAACCACCTGCTAAATGGGAGAAAATATTTGCAAATGATATGACAAGTAAGGGGTTAATATCCAAAATATATAAATAGCTCATACAACTCAACATGAAAAAAAAAAAAGAAATTTGATTAAAAACTGGGCAGAAGACCTGAACAGACATTTTTCAAAAGAAGACATACCGATGGCCAACAAGCACATGAAAAGATGCTCAACATCATTTGTAATCAGAGAAATGCAAATCAAAATCATAATGAGATATCACCTCATGCCCATCTATCATCAAAAAAAGCACAAATAACAAATGTTGGTGAGGATGTGGAGAAAAGAGAACCCTCATACACTGTTGGTGCAAATACAAATTGGTGCAGCCACTGTATGGAGGTTTCTCAGAAAACTAAAAGTATAATTACCGTATGATCCACCAATTTCACTCCTGGGTAGAAAACACTAACTTGAAAAGATACATGCACCCTAAATGTTCATAGCACCACTATTTACAATTGCCAAGATAAAGAAGCAACCTAAATATTCACCAACAGGTAAATGAATAAAGAAGATGTGGTATATATGTACAATGGAACATTACTCAGCCATAAAAAAGAAGGCAAATTTGCCATTTGCAACAACATGGAGCAACTTAGAGGTATTATGATTGAAATAAATCAGAGAGAGAAAGACAAATACTATTTGTTATAACTTAATGTGGAATCTAAAAAAATACAATAAACTAGTGAATATAACAAAAAAGAAACAGACTTACAGAGAACAAACTAGTGGTTATCAGTGGGAAGAGGGAAGGTGGGAGGGATAAGACAGGGACAGATTAAAAAGTACAAACTACTATGTGTAGAATAAATAAGCCACAACACAAGGAATACAGCCAATATGTTAAAATAACTATAAATATAACCTTTTATATAGGGTTATAAATATAACCTAACTAAACCTATAACCTAAATATAACCTAAATATAAAATAACTATAAATATAACCTTTTATAAAGAGTATAACCTTTAAAAATTGTCAATCATTATGTTGTATACCTGATACTTATATAATATTGTATATCAACTATATATCAATTTTGAAAAGGTGCAGTATATGTAGAATGGAATATTACTCAACCATGAGAAAGAAGGAAATCCTGTTATGTGTGAGAACACAGATGAAACTTGACTGCATTATGCTAAGTGAGAAAAGTCAGACAAAGATTATACGGTATCACTTACATGTAGAATCTAAAAAAAAAGTCAAACTCAATGAAACAGAGTAGAGTGGTGGTTACCAGGACCTGGGGTGGGTGGGGGATTGGGAGGATATTGGTCAAAGGGACAAATGTGCAGTTTGAAAATCAGAGTAGGTTTTAGGGAAATCTAATGAAGAGCATAGTGATTATAGTCAACAATATTATATTATATACTTCAAAATTGCCATGAGACTAGATCTTTAATGTTCTCACCACAAAAATGAAATCATAATTATGTGATGAGATAGAAGTCTTAGCTAAAGCTATTGTGATAATCAAATCAACATGTTGTACACTTTAAACTTATACAGTGTTCAGTGTAAATTATAATCTCAGTTAAAAGAAAACACTGACCAGGAATGTATCTATTCCATATTCTGGAGACAGCCTTTCCAAATGTGCTTCTCAAAATATTTGCAATTAGTTGTAGACTTCAATTCAAATCAGCCTTAGTGGTTTTAGTGTAGTACGTTTTCTTTACTTTGTTTCCAACATAATATGCTATTTCTTTTCTTCCCATTCAAATTTTATAGGACAGACAAGGAACTATCTTTATATTATTTGAAAACTTGAAGAGAGACAGGTTGGGAATGTTGTAAGTATGAAGTATGTCTAATAAACTAAGAAAATAGACTATAAGAATCAACAAGAATGAAGCTTCTTTTGCATTTTAACCAGTATGCTGATTTATTGAAAGTCTATCTTGTTTTATTTAGATCTTTAAGTATTTCATAAATTGACTTGAGATGTGTCAGTGGAAGTTCATTAGTATAACTGATTAATTATCCAGAATCGATGGGTGAGAGTCTAGTTTTAACAACATATTATATTCAAACACATATATCTACAAGCCACAGCAAATCTGACTAATGAGGAACCAGCTCAGATGTCCTGATTGCAGAAGGGCAGTTGTCATTCTGACATGCTTAGAAAAATGCTCTGGTGACTTGGCAAGATGCTCCCCAAAAGGCAGGGTCTGTAGCCTCTCCTCAGATCTAGTTCCAGCCCTGATGCAGTCTCCTTGAGATACATTTTATGCTAAGAGTCCTTTGCACCATTCAGGAGGTTTCTCTGTGTTTTCCTGTTTCCTGCAAATTTCTCTCCAGGTTATTCTGGAGAGCTAGTAGAAGTTGTTACCTCATCTAGGACTCAGAACTCTCGAGCCATAGCCTTGAACTGTATCTTATTCATATCTTGAAATATGGTTATTTGGTACCTTTAAGTCATTCTGATTTGTTGGGAAACTTTCTATCTTATATTTTTCTTCCTTTTAATACTTAGAGCACATTGAAAAAGATAAGATGAACAAATATAAACTTTTCTTAGTGTTGCTTTTCTCTGGAGGAATGAGAGGCTTTTTCATGAGTTGACTGGGTTTTGTTTGGGTTTATTACAATCAGGCTGTATCAGGTGAGAGCTCTAAGGGGGAACCTTACACATCAGATTTGTGTGGCTTGGCTTCACTGGGATAACTTCATCTGATTTCACTTATACTAGGATATTTCTGGAAATAGTGGAATTTAAGTAGAAAGTTCAAGGAAGGGAGAAATGAAGGAAATTCTAGAGATGAATTATTAATAGGAAAGGGGACATACAGTCCATCTAGTTTCTTGGATCCCAAGCTGGGAACCATGGACCTGAGGAGGCTGAGGGGGTGGCTAGAGGAGCTTGAATTCATGTGTGGACCCAGCATTATACAAACACACACACACACACACACAATTTTTTTTAAAGTATGAGTCGCAATCTTCAGGATATGTAAGAATCACCTTGAGGGACTTTGTGAAACTACACAATCAAAGATTCTGATTTTGTCAATCTGGATGGGACCCAGGAATTTGGAGAAGCACCTGGGGTCCAATACATACTGACCTTGTGGCAATAAAATACAAATCACTGTTAAAAAATTAATTACTCAAGATTTCTCCTGGTAAGTGTCACATTGCACTTGAAAATATGTGGACTATTTTTAAATATCTTTTGATAATGATTTCTAACATCACTCCACAGTGATAAGAGAATAGACTCTGTACCATTTCAATACCTTTAGACCATGAAATTTTTGCACCTTTTTTTATGTCCCTGGATATATTCAGTGTCTCCTGATTTGTAGTCTATGGGAACTTGAATAGAATTTGTATCCTGCTATCATATGAAAATTGTATATATCTTAATTATGTTGAATTGGTTTATAGCACCCTTCAGGTCTACTATATCCTTCTACTTTCCTGTCTGTTCATTCTATTAATTTTTGAGAGTTTGATATTGAAACTCCAATTAAAAATCTTAATTTATCTACTTAAAAACTTGTAAAATATAGTAGAACTGTATGTAACTTTGTTCTGTGTTTTCCAAGTCTCCTGTAAATGTGTTATCATACTTTCATAATTTAAAAACAGAAAAAAATGAAAAAAAATTAATGACTCTGAAGTTGCCTTTCCCCTTCATGGATCACAGCCTTGTCGTGGTGAAGGGCCATCCAAGATGGACAGATCATAGTGAAGAGTTCTGACAAAACATGGTCCCCTGGAGGAGGAAATGGCAACCCACTCCAGTAATTCTTACCTGGAAAACCACATAAACAGTATGAAAAAGCAAAAAGATTTGACACCTGAAGATGAGCCCCCAGGTCAGAAAGTGTCCAATATACTACTGGGAAAGAGCAGAGAGCAATTACTAATAGCTACAGAAAGAATGAAGCAATAGGGTCAAACCAGAAACGACACTCAGTTGAGGATGTGTCTAGTGGTGAAAGTAAAATCGATGCTGTTAAAGAACAGTACTGTATAGGAACCTGGAATGTGAGGTCCATGAATCAAGGTAAATTGGATGTGGTCAAGCAGAAGATGGCAAGGTTGAACACCAACATCTTAGGAGTCAGTGAATTAAAATGGATGGGATAGACAGATGAATGGCCAAGGAAGTTGTGGTACATATACACAATGGAATATTCCTCAGCTATAAAAAGGAATGCATTTGAGTCTGTTCTAATGAGGTGGATGAACCTAGAGCCTGTTACACAGAGCAAAATAAGTCAGAAAGAGAAAGACAAATATTGTATATCAATGCATATATATGGAATCTAGAAAGAAAGTATTGACAATCCTATGTGCAGGGCAGCAAAGGAGACACAGACATAAAGAACAGACTTTTGGACACAGTGGGGGAAGGAGAGGGTGGGATGATTTGAGAGAATAGCATTGAAACATACACATTACCATATGTAAAATATGTAGCCAGTGGGAGTTTGATGTATGACTCAGGGAACCCAAAGCCAGTGCTATGTGACAACCTAAAAGGTGGGAGGGGGAGAGAGGAAGGAGAGGGGTATAAGAGGGAGGGGACATATGTATACCTATGGCCAATTCATGTTGATGTATGGCAAAAATCATCACAATTTTGTGAAATAATTATCCTACAATTAAAAATTTTAAAAGGTTCTAAAAAATGGAAAATAAATAAAATGGATGAGAATGGATGAAATTCATTCAGATGACCATTATATCTACTACTGTGGGCGAGGCAGATTTTATTTTCTTGGGCTCCAAAATCACTGTGGACAGTGACCGCAGCCATGAAATTAAAAGATACATAAACCATCTCCTTGCTCCTTGGAAGGAATGTTATGACAAAACTAGATAGCATATTAAAAAGCAGAGACATTGCTTTACCGACAAAGGTCATATAATCAAAGCTATGGTTTTTCCAGTACTCATGTATGGATGTGAGAGTTGAACCATTAAGATGGCTGAGCACAGAAGAATTGATGCTTTCGAACTGTGGTCTGGAGAAAACTCTTGAGAGTCCCTTGGACAGCAAGGAGATCAAACCAGTCAATCATAAAGGAAATCAACTCTGAATATTCATTGGAAGGGCTGAAGCTGAAACTGAAGCTCCAATACTTTGGCCACCTAATGTGAAGAGCCAACTCACTGAAAAAGATCTGACTCATTGGAAAAGACCCTGATGCTGGGAAAGACTGAAGGCAAAAGGAGAAGGGGGCAGCAGAGGGTGAGATGGTTAGATGGCATTACCGACTCTCCGGACATGAATTTGAGCAAACTCTGGGATATAGTGGAGGACAGAGAAGCCTGGCGTGCTACAGTCCATGGAGTAGCAAAGAATCCAACACAACTTAATGAGTGAAAAACAACAACAACAAAAATTTGCCTTTGGCTATTGTTTTTTCTATGAAAAGAAAAGATACCAATGTTCAGTAGCTATAAAGCGTAGGAGTACATGGTCCTTGGATTTGGGGAATGTAACTCAAGAGGTTTGGAAGTACTTGTCTAGTCCACTTCCTTCATTCCAGAGAAAAGAAATGAAGACCCAGAGAGCTCAAGTAACTTCCCCAAAGTCACAAAGTCAGTAGCAGGGCATAGAGCTCTGGTCTCCTGTCTTGGAACTGGGAAGATTTCTACTCCCAACCTGATCCAAGGGAAGCCCAATCAGGCAGTAAGGAAGCCATTCTGAAAGGGTCTAAGCCTGACTCTAAGGTGACTTATTTTACAGATAACAACTGGCAAAGAAGTAATCCCAAAGTTATTTGCAGTTTCCTTAAGAGGCATTAGCTCTTTAGGTTCACCCCCTCAGGATAGAACAATTTTTAAAAATTAATCCATTCATTTAATCTATTTTTTCCTTTGATAAAAAAAAAGTTTGAATAATTGCTAGAAAAATACCCAGGAGTTTTGTTTCCAAGTTAAAATTTACAATGATCTAGTGGTTTGGGAATGTTCACTGACCATAATTTAGTTCTACAGGATGGTTTCCAAATTCTCTGAAATCGTCTTTAAATGTGTGTTCAGCTTTATAAAGACAGCTAGTCATGAATGGGGCACATTCTCCTCTGCACATAGATGGGATGCATTCATAAGTAGCAGCAATCACTTGTATACATGAAATAGAAAATAAACCCTAGATGAAAATCTCCAGAATACTGAGGTGCCAATGTCTCTGTAGGCAAGTAAATTGTTAAGTATGAATTACACTCAGAAACAATTCTCTTAAACTAACAATTTTTAAAATGAGCTAATACTAGTGTCCTAGCTCAGTGGTAGCCTTTTGCTAAGAATGACTGAACCTATTCCTACATTCTGCTATGTTGATTAATAAAAAATATTTATTACACAAATCCTTTTTGTTGACAAGTTAAAATGGAGCCTCATCTTTCATATCTCCCTGAAGATTGCCACCTTGTGAGATTGAAAATACTCATTAAATTCCATCACCAGACAGGCACAAATGAGAGGGTGATTGTTTCTAAGCATGTGAGGGGAATCGTTGGTAAACTCATTTGTTTGGATATCATTAACAGAACAATCGGTGAGGATCTCCAGGGGGTCCTCATGACCTTTGCTCGCAATCTCTTCATCATCCATCAAGAAATATCAGCACCTAATATGCAAGGCGAGACCAATTTTAAGGTGAGGTGTTAATTAACTAACGATCCTGGTTAATTTCTATACAAGGGCTGAAAATACCTCATGCTGTATTGTAAACAAGTGCTAAACCATTTTTTTTCATTGTAAGCGGTACATATTTTACAGCATGTGGGGTCAATATTGTAAGGTTCCCATTGAACCTGTTAGTTAAATTTAATAGTTTGAAACTTTTTCTTTAAATATAGTAGACTTGTTTTAACTTGCTGCCATTTCCAAATCTAAACTTACAAGACAACAGGGATTTCTGATGTTGAAGGTGACACTGAAGTGTCACAATGGAACCAAAACAGAGACTGTCACAATCAAAAATCCTGACTATAATCTACCTATATTTCAGATAATACGCTATCTGGCTAAGGATTCCTGGGAAGTCTAAGTTTCTAGAGCCAGAAAAGTTCTGAGATTCCAGGAAGGACAACGTGTATAGGGAGAAACAGAAGAAAACCTCAGTATATTTGTAAGCCATCTGCTCCACCCCATTTCGCTGAAGTGGGACAGGTATATCATCATAACATTTTGAAGCTTCCAAACATCACCTAATGATGTTGCTTCAGGAAATCCAGTCATGTGTAATTGACTAGAAGTCTCTAAATTCTAGAAAATGAGAGCAAGATATACCAGAATTTTTAAAATATCAGCTAAACAGAGATGAACACTTGATATTACTCACTGGATATCTGGTTCCCAGTCAGCCTTCATCTTGTTTGAATGGGTCAAGTAACTCAAGGGATTCAATCAGAAACCACATGTGATTTTTCTCTTAAATGGAAAGACCAATAAAAGCATGATAAAAATAAAAATTTTGAATATTTTTTTCCTGAGCTAGGGCCGTCCCGGCTCAGCCAGTTGAGTCACTCAGTCATGTCTGACTCTGTGACCCCATGGACTGCAGCACACCAGGCTTCCCTGTCCTTCACCAACTCCCAGAGCTTGCTCAAATTCACATCCATCAAGTCAGTAATGCCATCCAACCATCTCATCCTCTGTTGTTCCCTTCTCCTCTTGCCTTCAGTCTTTTCCAGCATCAGAGTCTTTTCCACTGAGTCAGTTCTTTGTATCAGGTGGCCAAAGTATTGGAGCTTCAGTTTCAGCACCAGTCCTTCCAATGACTGTTCAGGACTGATTTCCTTTAGGATTGACTGGTTTGATCTCTGCAGTCCAAGGGACTCTCAAGAATCCCTCTGTAACAGTAATAATGATAATAATGCTTTGCTCTTCAGAGTGATTTTATGTGTTGCATCAACTTTAACTGGCCTTTCTAAAGGATCTGTGCTCATCATTTATATTCTAAGTTCCTGCCAGCTAGCATCATTTCATCCATTACCATGATGTGCAAAATTCTGAGCCTATATGCACGTGATCAGTTTAGTCTGTCCAAATACAGCTAATAGGATCAGATGGTGCTGTGGACTGAACTGTGTTCTCCCAAGTTCACGTGTTGAACTCTTCATCCCCAGTATGATAATATATGAAGAAGGTGACCTTGGGAAGTAATTATGTTTAAATGAAGTATTAATGGTGGGATCCTCATGATGGGATTAGTGCCCTTATAAGAAACCAGAGACCTTGCACTCTTTCTTTCTCTCTGTCTTTCTCTGTCTCTGTCTCCCCACTAAATGGGAACACAGCAAAAAGATGGCTGTCTGCAAACCAGAAAGAGAGCTCTCACCAGGAACAGAAAGAGCCAGCACCTTGCCCTCAAACTTCCCAGCCTCCAGAAATGTGAGAAATAAATTTTTGTTGTTAAAGCCACCCCATCTACAGTGTTTTGTTATAGCAGCCTGGGCACACAGTTTATCCTCCAAACCATGCAGACTTAGTAGACTCCAACCTTGGACTTGAGGTTGGCAGAGCCAACTGCTATTGACAAAATAAGGCCTTTTCTCTCTGCCCTTTGTCTGACTTTAAAAATCATCAAAAGTCAGATATTCTTAAGTAGCTTTTAAATATCTCATGGTTTCTGCATCTCATGCGAATCACTGTTATCTTGACTTTTTTTTTAACCCTTGGTAGAAGATCCAAAGGTAAAAACTTTAAATCTCAATAAAATAGGAATAACTTTTAAAAACTTAAAAAGTGTAATAGATTCATTTTTGGTAGTATTTTTGTCTACTATCCTAATGACAGCCTAATAAGTATTTTCAGTTTGTAAACAAAGATTTACCAGCAAAGTAAAGGCCAAATAAAAAGGTAATGCAGAAAAAGCATTTAACAAAATCTAACACCCTTTCTTAATTAAACAAAACACTCAAACAAACTAGGACTAAAAAGTGACTTATTCAACCTGATAAGGGCATCTGGGAAAAACCCACAGCTAACATCATAGTTAATGGTGCAAGACTGAAAACTTTCCCCCCAAGATCAGGAACAAGACAAGGATGTCTGCTCTCACCACTTCTATTCATCATTATATTGGAGGTTCTAGCCTGGACAGTTAGGCAAGAAAAAGAAATAAAAGGCACCAAGACTGAAAAGAAAGAAACTATCTTTATTCACAGATGACATGATCTTGTATATAGAAATCCTAAAGAACTCAGAAACAATCTATTGGAACTAATAAACAAATTCAGCAAGTTTGTAAGACCCAATATCAATATATTAATATAAATATCAATTGTATCTCCATATGTCAGTGATGAACAATCTAAAATTAATTTTTAAATAAAAAAGAATAAAATATTTACAAATAAGTTTAGCAGAATGAGTACAAGACCTGTCTGCTGAAAACTACAAAACAGCGTAAAAGAAAGGAGACCTAAATAAGTGGAGAGACATTCTATGTTTATGGAACAGAAAACTTAACATTGCTAAAATGGCAGTACTCTCCAAATTGATTCACAGATTCATTGCAATTCCTATCAAAATCCTAGCTGGCTTTACTGCAGAAATTGATGACATAATCCTAAAATTTATTTGGAAATTTGAGAGATCCAAAATAGTCAAAATAATCTTGGGAAAAAAGAACAAAGTTAGAGGGCCTCTCAATTTTAAAAACTTACTACAAAGCTACAGTAATCAAGAATATGTGGTACTGTCATAAGAACAGACATAGAGATGAATGGAATAGAATTGAGAGTTCAAAAACAAACCTTCACTTTTACAGTTAGTTGACTTTCAACATATGCCAAGCCCATTCAATGAAAAAAGAATAGTCTTTTTGATAAATGGTGCTGGGACAAATGGATATCCACATGCAAATGAATGAAGTTGTACCTCTCAACTCCATAGCAAATACAAAAATTAAGTAAAATTGGATTAAAGACATAAATGTAACAGTTAAAAGTATTAAATTCTTAGAAGAAAACAGGTATAAATCTTCAAGGCCTTGTGGTTAGCAATGGCTTCTTAGATATGATACGTTAAGTGCAATCAAGCAACATAAAAACACTAAGTTGGATTCCATCAACATTGAAAACTTCTGTGTACGCCAAAGGATACTTACAAAAGTGAAAAGACAACTTACAGAATTGGAGAAGTTATTTCCAAATCATGTATATGATGTCTCTAGTGTTCACAGTATAAAAAGCACTCTTATAATTCAACAACAGAAAAACAAATAACCAATTAAAAAGTGAGCAAAGGACTTGAATAGATTGTTGTCAAAGAAGATATACAAATACACAATAAAAACATGAAGAAACACTCAACATCCTAAGTTATTAGGGAAATGCAGATCAAAACCACAAGATTCCATTATACACTTAAGATAGCTACAATCCAAAAGACATAATAACAAACATTGACAAGGATACGGAGAAACTGGAACCCTCATGTATTGCTGACAGAAATATAAAATGGTGTCATTGCCATGTATAGTTTCATATTTCCTCAAAATGTTAAACAAAATTACCATATGATTCAGCAATTCCACACCTAGTTTTATACCCGAGAGTACTGAAAATATATACTCATGTGAAAACATACATTAGTGTTCATAGAAACATTATTCATAAGAGCCAAAAGGTAGAAACAGCCCAAATACCCATCAACAGATAAATAGGTGAATTCTATTATATCATATTAAATGAATAATATTTCATACCTTGGAATACTAAGTATAAATCTTCATGATCTTGTGGTTAGCAATGGTTTCTTAGATATAATACCTAAAGTGCAAACAACCAAAGTAAAAATAGATAATAGATACAATGAAATATTATTCAGCCATAAAAAAGAAATTAAGTTCTGATCCATGCTACAAAATGGATGAACCTTGAAAACATTATGCTAAGACACAAAGGCCACATATTATATGATTAATTTACATGAAATGGCCAGAGTAGGCAATTCTATAGAGATAGAAAATAGATTAGAGGTTACCAGCAGGTAGGAGAGGTAGAAAATGAGGAGTGGCAGATAATGGGTATTGAATTTCTACTCAGGTGATGAAAATGTTCTGGAATAACATAGAGTAATGGCATCTTATGAATATACTAAAACCCACTGAATTATACACTTTAAAAGGGTGGATTTTATGATATGTGAATTTTACCTCAATTAAAAAGAAAAACTAAAATGCATGGAAATGTGCCACTTTTCCTCCCCCAAACCAATGGAAATAAATGCTCCCATCAGTCTGCTAGTCCTCCTTTTAGGGTGACTAGACCAGGGCATCTCAAATTAACTGCAATGAAGGACCTGTTTGTTGTATTTTTTCTGATCTATTATGCATCAATACATATGTGAAATACAACAAAAATGAATTACTAGAAAAATAAAATGAAAAAAATCAAAGACATATTAAACAGAAGTCCATTTTTTATTATATTTAATAGACACAAAAATCTCTATAAAGGTTTCCAAGTTCTTCCTCTCAGTTTTTAACCCATTTCGTTAAGACTGATAACCAACAATTAATAGATGGCTGCTGGTTAATGGAACACACTTCGAGCAGAACTGATCTAAACCATAGTTAACTTCAAAAAGGAGCAAATGCTTGAGGGACTGGATGGAAGACTTGTAAGAGGTCTTTAAGTAACAAATATTATTTTCACTGTTCATTTACAGACTGCCATTGATGACCTTGAAGCCATTCTAGGAGTAACAGAGGAAAACAAGTTGAGATTTGAAGAAAACCTACAGTCCAAACATTAAAAACCCTCTCTAAACCTGATAAATGAATGATCCTGGAACACTTTACTGATTTTGGATTCCAATCTGAAGCCAAAAAATGGGCAACATTCATTTTTCTGTTAGGAATAAAAGGAAGGGACAGTTAGTTTGCTTTGTTTGCTAGGAAGGGTAACAGAATAGATTATAATGTAATGCTTTCTTTAAAAATTGTTTATTAAGTAATCTTATTTTACTTATCAAACCAAAACCTGTCTGTGTTATCATTTCAATCGATCTCTTCCTCTTCCCAAACACAAGAAGAAATAAGCTATCAAGAAAGTTACAAGTCTTACTAATATCACTTCTGCATCTCTCTCTTTATAAACTTCAGGATTATGAAGCTTTAAAAAAAAAACAAATTCTATAAAGTTTTCTCCTCCTATTCCTAATAATAATTTGTCTTCTGCATGTAAAAAATTGAATAAAGGCTTAATCCTATTTGGCAAAATGGAAATGTCTCTTTTTCCCCAAGAAAATTACAGTTCTATGGATTTGTAAAGTGATCTTTTGTCACTCACTGTATTTTTATTGTGCCAAGCCACTACTGTCTGTTGTTGCCATTTTTCAAAAAGTAATATAAGCCAACATCTAGTTAAATAAAGAATCAGAATGTATCTAGGTGGCAGCATCTGCTCTTAGTTTAACAGTGTAACTCAGCCCTCTCTCTTGAATAAACATTTGTATTCTCTAGCTCTCCATTAATACAGCAGTAGGATTTTTACAAGCTTAATTCAACAGTACCTTTTAAAGGGCAAAGTGTTAAAATTATGCAGTGTTGGCACTCTTGGTGTTTGCTTTGTAACTGTTGAAAAGTATTTCTACATCATCCAGCTTAACTGAAGGCTGAAATATGCAAGTCACAAAAATCACAGAGTTGTTTTAAAGAATGACCTTTATATCTTTAAAACTATTTGAGTGTGTTGAGGAAAAGAGGGGTATTTATTACCTATGGAATTTCAATAATGTGTTAACTCTGCCTCAGCTATAGGCTAAATTTCTGCAAAACAATTAACATTTGTGTGTGTAAGTGTCAGCTTTTGTTTTGCTATAGTTGAAAGTAGACTAATTAGCCAGGTTTCCTGCTTGTGCTAGGTACAACGATGACCTCTTTTTCTTGCCAGATCGCTCTAATCCATATGAGGGGCCCATTGTCCAGACACTTGACAGATAGGAAGTACTACATGCCCATTAGAGTCTCGCCTCGATTGAAGCCAGAGCAACATAAGGTCCAAGAGACTCATTAGTTCACTGGCACAATCGTGTCCTGAGAGTAAATGAAACCCTCTGTCTCCTTATGGCTCTCATCTGCTCTGGACTTTAAAAGAAAACTGTCTCTGTTTTGTTCAGCACAGCAGTGGATCTTTCACATAGTGAGATCCCCTTCTTAACAGTACAAAACTGTTAAAATCTATCAGGGAAGTTTTTATATGTGAAGTTTGATTAGCACTCTTGAGCCTCAAGCTGCTGGCAAGAGTAAAATGAGTTCATTCTCCCGTACCTTTTTTTTTTTTAACCCACATAATCAGTTTCTCAAACAATGCACTTTCCTTCTTGCCTCTATCATTAACAGACACCACAGAATGCCTGTTTCCAAATTCAGGCCTTATATTCAGATTAAGGTCTCACTGGAAAGTGATTGAAAGTCAGGGTCTCTACCTAAAAAGCTACGGCTTCAAAATCAAAGGAGAAAAATTGGTATAATAAAACAATCACTTCAAGTAATTACCTGAAAGAAGCCAGAGGACCAGATTAAATTAGTGAAATGTTTTAATTACAGAACATTTGAAAAGAAGCATAGTCCATTATCTTTTAGCATATATGAATAGCAAAGATACTGTGCTATTGGTAAACTAAGTGTGAAAAAAAAATCATGTATATGTGTACAATGTGTCCTAAACATAAAATTAATCAATATAAATTACTGAGTTTTTACTATTCTAAATGAGAAACTGAAATCTTTGTCAATGAGAGGATTTTTTGAAAATGACTGCCATTTTCAGGAAGTTTTGGGGAAAAGCATACATTTAACCATAGAGCTATCTTTGTGAGAGAAATGACCCATCGTTTAATATTGAATGTTTGTGATGGTTTGAGAAGCAAACTCAACTAAACATTTAGGGGCACATTACTGGATGATGATAATTATCTCCTTTTATATATTACCTATTTCATACTGATTTTCAAGAAACTAAATAAATGATGTTCAGTGGCAAATTGTGCTTTCTGCTTAACTACTTTTCACTATCCACTTACATTTTCCTTCTATTGAACACATTGTTGGCTAGATATGTACTGTACTAGAAGTTTCATATAAATTTTTAAATTATGTCTTTCCAACAACACCATGTGGAGAACTACTACTACTGTCCTCATTTTACATATGAGAAAACAGACATTTAGTGAAGGTATCTCACCTCGTGTCTCAGGCTGAATGAAATTTGAGATTTAAACTCATTTACCACAAATTCTGTGCTTCCCATTTGGAGCAAGTGGTAAAGAACTGTCTGCCAATGCAGGAGACACAAGAGATGCCGGTTGGGACGATACCCTAGAGAAGAGCATGGCCACTCACTCCAGTATTCTTGTCTGGAAGATCCCATGGACAGAGGAGCCTGGAGGGTTACAGTTCATAGGGTCGCAAAGAGTCAGACAAGACTGAAGAGACTTAGCACACATGCAACACAAATTCTATTAATAGCATGTTTTATAAAGTAGAAATCAGTCCTGAATATTCATTGGAAGGACTGATGCTGAAGCTGAAGCTTCAATACTTTGGCCACCTGATGTGAAGAACTGACTCTTGGAAAAGCCCCTGATGGTAGAAAAGATTGAAGGTGGGAGGAGAAGGTGAAGACAGAAGATGAAATGGTTGGATGGCATCACTGACTCGATGGACATGAGTTTGAGCAAGCTCTGGGAGTTGGTGAAGGACAGGGAAGCCAGGCATGCTGCAGTCCATGGGGCTGCAGAGAGTTGGACACAACTGAGCAACTGAACTGAACTGAACTGAAATAAAGTAGTTCAGTTTCACTTGTCCTAGATTGTGTAAGGGACTTACTCTTTTATAACAAATTCTAATGTGTTGCTTAAAGCATAGAAAGATAGTTTAACTTACACGTTTCTTGCTCATAACATAAACTTGGGCAACTGACAGCATTGTGAAGCATCACAACTACATGATCAAATAAATCAGAAGAGAAAGTAGCATCAGTCAGTAGAATTCTATGGGGATGGATCTGTAAGGTGGAGGACTGATGATAGGTATGTGTGGGAGAATCTGGAATATAGGAAATCATGCCCCATAGTTTCACTGGAAAGATGGGTGTTAAGAAATGGGAAAAGACTTCCAAGAGGATACAGAGTAACCTGGGAGAAGTTTGGGAAGCATTACTTCAGCTATATCATTCCAAGAATCACAAGCATCCTATTTTTCAAGTATAAAATGATTTATTTTATCCTAAGTAATATGTTAGCTATCATCTTCTAGCTTTTAACAATTAATAATCATTTTTATGCATCTGCCACCTTTCTTCTAAAGAGCTCAAAGCACTTTACATTTGTTATCTCATTAATTCCTAAGACTGTCCCTGTGGGGAAGGTAATAAGTATTTTAACATTTAAATGTTTATCTTTAAGAATTTCTCAAGCATACATTAATTATACTTCCAAAAATGTAAATGTTCATTAGTTTTGTTTTACTGTTCCTCTGGCTTTAATGTGCATAACACATTTGTTCAACTCTTTAAATGTGTTAATCATAGTAAATCTTATTTGGAAAACTAGAAATTAAGTTGCCAAGATAATGTGAGGGTAGAAGTTGCAGGGAGGGAGGAAGCATTTGACTTCACCTTTCTCACTGAAAGAAGTTTGGTCCAATTGGTGGTAAATGCAGAGGAAATGAATGTGCTGTGGCTCTTCTGTATCCTATTCTTTCCAAAAAGTGTGCCTCACAAGGGTAAGGGCTGTGTCTAAAAGCCTGAGACAGATTGAGCTACTATTTCCGTCTTTGTTTTTTGCTAATTCTGTGGAACAGAATACAGATGCATTCTACTAAGAGTTACACCCCAAAGAGTCACAGAATAATAAGGACTAGAAACCTGTCTCCCCAGCCCTGCCTTTCTCTGAACTGGCCATAGTTTTCTCAACTTTCTAACTAGAAAAATGACCTGCTCCGTAGGGAAGCAGTAGAGATTAATTGACCAATGTTGGGAGAGTGTTGTAAAGATGAAGCATCCTGCATAAATGTTTAAGTATCATTATTACATTGCAACTTCAAATTGAAGTTCTAACTTTGAAATGTGATTATGCACTTCCCAAGAAAGCCCTTTCATAACCACATATATAGGTTTATTTTTCACTCTAACAGTCTAACTCATGGTTATGAAACTTTATTGCACTTGATGGAGGGCCCTTGCATTTATTAGTTTTAAACTGCTGGTTTCTGGGGTATTTATGTAAATGAGGGAAAGATACCAAAACAGTAAATAATAAGCATGTCACTGCTGCTTAAATATCTGTTGGTAAAAACAACTTTTGTTTTGTTACACGAAAACCCTAAAACATAACACGGAAAAATAGAGCTTTGGCATCTATGCATAAGTGTGTTTTGGTTTGGGGGTTTTATGATGGTGGTTTCCCCCTAAGCATTCCTTTTCCATTCTGTAAATATTTTGTCTCACTTTCACGTTTTCCACATTTATCATCATACATATCATGTATGTGTGATTATACATATATGGAGAGAAAGAGAAGTGAGTAAAATGCTACATTTTAAGATTTTTTTTATTTAACAAAAATGTTAAAAAGTATACCAGATGGCTAATTATAGCTCCCAGAAACAAAAGGCCACACCTAAGTTTATTGCAGTTGCCTCATAAGGAATCTTTATGATAAAATCATGGTTCCATAAACTTGACAACAAAACAGCAAAATAAACTTCAAATTTAAATTCAAATTTTGATTCATTTAAAAATTCATGCCAC